GAAAATTAAGAATGACTATGGACTTGTTTTGGGTTTCTTTGAGTGGGCATGCTTGCGTAGAGACCCAACTCTTGAAATTCACTCCATTGTTGTCCAAATTGTTGTGGTTTCAAAAGATTTAAAAATGGCTCATTGGCTTATTCTCTACTTTTGAAGAAAACCCAATTTGAATGTTAGTCTATCTTTCACTCATTTTGTTGAGTGGCTGCCGTACACTTATAAGGATTGGGGTTAAGATCCCCATGTGTTTGATGTTTTCTTCCAAGTACTTGTTGGAGTTGAGATGCTTGATGAAGCAATGAAATTTTTTGTCAAAATTTTGAATTATGGTATGGTTATCTCTGTTGATTCTTGGAACCTATATCTTTCTCGTTTATCGAACAATTTGCATAGGCTTTGAAAGGCAATAAAGGTTTTTACTAAACGTCCTCAAGTGGGTGTTTGTTAGAAAACTGTATCATACAACATTCTTATTCATCTTCTTTGTCAACTTGTGAAAATAAAAGATGCACATCTTTTGCTCAGGCAAATGGAGTTAAACGGCTGTATTCCTAATGTTGTAAGTTATAGTACCATAATCCATGGATATTGTCACATAGGAAAACTGCAAAAGGTGTTGAGGCTCATTAGAGAAATGCAAATAAAGCAATTGAATCCTAACCCCTATACTTACAACAACATAATTCATCTTCTTTGCAAGATGGGTAAAGTAGTTGAAGTTGCAAAGATTTCGAGGGAGATGATCAATGAAGGAATTTGTCCTGATTGTGTGGTATTCTCAACTCTCATTGATGGTCTCTATAAGTGTGGAAATCTTTCAGCTGCCTATATGTTGTTATATGAGATGTAGCGTTAGAGAATTATGCCTAATTTATTAACTTATACCTCTCTTATTTGTGGATTCTGTCAAATTGGAAATATAATTGATGTAGACAAAGTGTTCCATGAAATGTGTAGTCGAGGGTTGAAACCAGATGAGGTTACATGTACAGCCTTTATCGATGTTTATTGAGGTTGGTAAAATGAAAGATGCCTTTTACTTCATAACCAGATGGTTCAGGTGGGGTTGGTCCCAAATGTTGTTACCTACACTACTTTAGCAAATGGACTTTGTAAATCTAGTGAGTTGGATACAACAAATGAGTTTCTTCATGAGATACGTGGGAAGGGCCTTGAATTGAATATCATCACTTACAATGCAATGGTCAATGCACTTTGTAAAGTGGGAAATATTGTTAAAGCTACAAAGCTTATGAAAGATATGGAAGTGGGGGGGGGGGCTTAATCTTAATACTTTTACATATGCCACTTTAATGGAGGCATACTGTAAGGCAGGGGATATGAGCAAGGCATAACAACTATTATAGAGAATGCTTGATAGAGGGCTCCAACCAACTATTTTTACATTCAATTTGCTAATGAATGGATTTTGTATGTTTGGAATGTTGGAAGAAAGTGAGAGATTGCTAAAATGGATGTTGGACAAGGGTATCACGCCAAATGCAATCACCTACAATTCTCTTATGAAGCAATATAGCATAAGACACAACATGTGCACTACAACTATAGTTTATGAAAGTATGTATGCACAAGGAGTGTTGCTTGATAGCAACACTTGTAACATTTTGATAAAAAAAAAAGCATTTGAAAGTAAGAAATATGAAAGAGGCATGGTTTTTGCACAAGGAAATGGTTGGGAAGGGACTTAGTCTCACAACTAGTTCCTATAAGGCCATGATCAAAGGTTATCTTAAGAGGAAGAAATTTTTGGAGGCAAGCGAACTGTTTGATGATATGAGAAGACAAGGGTTGATTGTTGATAAAGAAATATATGATCTGTTTCTTGATATAAAACTATGAACGCAACATGGAAACCTCACTAGAGCTTTGAAACGAGGCAAATCTTGTGGATATGTCCAAGAATGAAATTTAGCACTATGTTGACCACTATTGTAATACCCCAAAATTTTGAGCACTTATGTTGAATAATTAGTTAATTAATTTAGTTGGGGATGATTAATCAAAAGGAATTTTTGGGGACCAAGTCGTCCAACTTTTCAATCTTGGGGATGTTAGCAGTTAAAAAAAAAAGAGAGGGGGGCATGGACAAAATGAAAAGGAAAGGAAAACCTAATTTCTTTTTCGAGGGCTTTCTTCTTCTTCTGCTTCTAATCAAAATTGCTGCTGGCTATTCCTCCTTTCTTATCCATGACTGATTGCTTGATGGGTGTTCTTCCTTCCTTGTCCGTGATTGATCACTCATTAGGTGTTCTTTCTACAACAATTCTGATAAGAAAACAGTTATTGTTCATCTTTTCATTCTTGATCGAGTTAGGTTAACTCTAATATTTTGTTATCTTGATTTGGGGGATGATTTCCGCAATTTATCTCTTTGATTTTGTCATGTTTTATGTCACTTTGCTTATAAGTTATGCACTAAAATTTTAGATCAAAATCTAGATCTGTCAGAGCATTATTGCTGAATTTTCTGGTCTTGCTCTATGTCTATTACTGTTAGTTATTACATCCCAAATCTATTATCATATATGTATAATTCATCTTAGCTTCTGTTCATGGCTTAAATTCCTCGTCCTTGTTCAAATTTCTATACTCTTAAGTCTTTATGAACTGCATTCTCCTAGCTGTTTTTATCCTGACAAAAGTACTTGGTTTTTGCATGCTGTAACTACATTTGCCATGAGCAGGCTTAGTTTTTGGTCTGTTTTCCTTTGCTGTCTTGCCTTGTTTCTACACTTTTTTCTTGCTATTTTCTAGCCTTCATATTTTCACAGTTTCTATTTCAAACTTATGCCCTTGTAATTGCTTGCTTTCATGTGTTTTTGGTGGCTGATTTTCTATTCTGTTATTGATTGCTTTTGTTTCATTGTGGTTGTAAAAATCACTGCATTGGTAGTTCCACTTATAAATCCGTTTTTGGGTGCTATTTTTAGCACCAAAATATTGTCCTGTCTTAGTTGCTTTTATTATTGAAATATTGTCTATTTTAGCCTAGTTTTGGCTCATTTTTTTGCTCTCCTTCGTCTAGAAAATCTTGTTAAGAAGCCTTTATTTATGTTCTAAAGTTTCTAAGCAATTGGCTTAAATTCTGACAACATGACCTGGCAGTAGTTTTTTGCCCATAACTCTTTCTGTAGTTATCGAATTAAGTCAATTCTTAATTCCATGGAAAGTTAAGAGATAGCCCTACAATTTATCTGTTGAGCGTTTAACCTAGTTTAGTTGTTATCAAGGTGAAAACTCTACTGCAAGTTTTGGTTTCGGAAGGCAGATGGAACTGGAAGCCTGACCTTATGTTAGGTTTTGAACCATAACTTTCTCTGTAGGTGTTAGATTAAGGTGATTCTTGATACTATAGAAAGCTAAGACATAGAGTACAATTGTTCTGTTAACCATTCGGCCTAGATTAGTCAATTTTTGAGTGCAAATTCTATTGGAACTTGCGGTTCAAAATCTAACCAAAATTTGCCATCAAAAGTGCCCAGAAATTTGCTTTGTTTTCTGCTTTATTCTCACATTTTCTACTGCCACATCGCATCATAGTTTTACTGGACTTTTACTTGTTGATTGCTACATAAAATGTTGCGTTGGAATATTAATTATTATCCCTTTATTGTGCGTTTTTGTTGGCCACTCGCTGTCCATTTTCCCCATTTGGTACAAAATTTTTCCACTGTTTTTAGCTATTGTTTTTCTGCTTTAAAACCATTGTTATTGTTCCATTTTGTGTCATTTTGCTTGGAAGTTTGCACAAAACTATCCAGATTTTAAGTCACATTCAACTGCTACATTTTTGCTTAAATGCTGTTAATTTCTACCTAGTTTTGGCTTGTATTCTACACTATTTCTGCTGTTGTTGTTTGCTTAATCTTTTCCTTACCGAACTATGAGTTTGTTGTTTGCTTAATCTTTTGATGATCATGAAGCATCTTAAAAAATATACCAATAATACCGACAGGGATTTGTTTTTGAGAATGTCACTAGGCTATCTATAACTGGAGACATTGATGTGCACTCTGTATTTTTTGCTTCCTTACCCACTTCACATCCAAGTTTTGCTTCACAAAAGCATCTCGAGAAGTTGAGCAAATGGAAAGCACAAGTATTTTTTGATGGACATATAGAACTTTTCATTAGAATACTTTCTGCTGGTAATCATTTTGCTGAGTGGATGGCTATGAGAAAGTCTTGGATGCAACATGAGTTAATAAAATCCTCAAAGGTAGTTGCTAGGTTCTTTGTAGCACTGGTAAGCGTTGATATAAAAGCATGTCTATTTCTAAAAGAAATCCTTTATAAAATACTCATGGGCTCTAGATTTTTTTCTCTTCTTTTTGTTGTTTAAGCATGGAAGAAATCAAGTTCATATGGAGTTAAAAAATGAAGCTAAGTATTTTGGTGATATTGTTATAGTCCCTTACATAAACAACTATGACCTTGTTATACTGAGGACTATTGCCATTTATGAATATGGGGTGAGTGATAAGATAGGATATGATTCAATATTGACTATGGTTCTTTGTTGATGGACATTATTTTTAGTTATTTTAGAAGAGGTGTTTGTGTTGTTTGATTATAAAAGCCGAGTAAGACTTGCTATCATTCTTCTCTGGTTGTAACAGGCTCGCATTGTGGCTTCAAAGTATATTATGAAGTGTGATGATGGCACATTTGTTAGGGTAGATGTTGTTATTACAGAAGCAAGTAAAGTCCTAGAGATAAGAGCCTTTATATTGGAAACATTAACTACTACCATAAGGCCCTATGATATGGTAAATGAGCTATGACATATGAGGTATGATCTCTGTCACGCCTCAAACCGAGAGCGAAACAGACGCCGTGCACTCGTGAGCGGGACCCACAAATGCACAAGGCTCGAGACCTACTGAGTCCTTACTTAGCAATTCAGATTTAAGTCTTTTAATTTACCAAATAGTTACCAGTTGAATGTACAAAATTTATCACTTCATATATACAATCATGACTAACACTAAATTCCGTACACAAAATTTTCTATGTCAAGCATGGGTGACTAACGGCTTAGCTACAAAAACCTAAGTCCAAAAGTGCCTAGCCGTCTAGCTCGTCACTCCCCCGGGCTTCCCACGCGTTGGGTCTCACTACCTGAAATGGTGGACAAGGAAACCGTGAGATAGAAATATCTCAGTAAGTAAACATGGGGGCCCGACATCAAAGTTTAAAGCATGCCAAATAATCGGTTGAAACATGAACAGAGCGTTTCAATAACAAATCATTAATGCAAGTAAAATCACGTAGTGGTCTCCTCTATTAGTCATGGCCAGTGTTATAAACCTCCCACTAGTAGGGCCACGAGTGCTAGTGTATAATCCCCACTAGTAGGGCCACGAGTGCTAGTGTATAATCCCCACTAGTAGGGCCACGAGTGCTAGTGTATAATCCCCACTAGTAGGGCCACGAGCGAACCGGTTCTATCACGAACATGTTGACATGTGCTAGCGTTTGTAACCTCCCCCACTAGCGGGGTCACGATTACACGACCATATCGGAGACAAAACCAAGCAAGATTTACAGAAACCACGATTCACGATCGTTCTCACTTTCAAAAATAAACTGAAGAATCTCATATGGGCATGCTCAATTCTAGAAAACAATGAAATTCCCATTTTCATTCCAATCATGCTCAATTCCAGAAAATAATTATCTTTCATAAAAATCATCACAAGTTTCATTTCAGTTAAATGACACTCAGATGCTGATAAAATCAATTTAAACCTTGCCACCATCTCAAAAACAATTTAAAACATGTTTTAAATCGAAGGGCTTTACCATAATTTACTTACCTTAATTACACAGGACAGAAGGCCTAATCCCAGTGCTAAGGCCACAGGACAATCAAGGACCTAATCACAATGTTCCCAATTAATATCTATGTATACACAATTACACAATTACACAATTACACAATTACAGATATACAATTTCTCAAACTAATGGACAGGAATTTGGGAGAACCGGCCTTGACAAAAAAATGGCCAATTCACAGAATTCTCCCCATTTTCTCTCGGACATCACACAACAATCAAACCCACTAATTTCCTACACAAATCATCAACCAAAACCCATTTTCAAATGGCCAAAACTCATCCCTATTTCAACAGAATTTTCGGACAACCCAAGCCCATTTCATACAACCACTTAAACTCACAAATT